CAAAAACATAACCTAAAATTAATATTTATTCTTAAATTACGAAGTGACAACCCTATTATCATGCAAATCGCTGTCCCGTCTATCATTAAATAATAAAATAGCAGAATCTATTAAGACATAAGCGTATAATATGATAAAGTTTAGATTTTATAACACAAAAAGATTATTCATTAAATTCATTCAAATAAAATCGTGATAATTATTCAATTTAAAAGAACCATATTTAATACATTTATGATTTATTTATTTTAATTTAAGTAACAAACACGTGTTACATCTCTTAATGAAGCTATCTTTTTTTATCTCAACACGAAAGCTATAGCAATTAGTCTTTCCGTAAAACGGAACGAAGAACGTAATGTAATCCACAAACATTTTATTAAAATGTACAGATGCGGAGAAAAGTGTCTAAAAATATTCATGTAATTCGTTAAGCAAAAATAAAATCAAGATAGAACATACTAATATTATAAATGCGAAAGTTTAGATGGATGGATGTTTGTTAGAGTTTGTAGCCTAAACGGCTGAACGGATTTCGATGAAATTTGGTATAGATGTAGAGGATAGTCTAGAACACATAGACTACCGACTTTTTTTTTAATTCCACGCGGACAGAGTCAAGGCGAAAACTAGTGAGATGTAAAGTTGTCGTGAACGGTTTAACTTTAAAAAAAAGTAACCTTCTTTAGGTAAATAAATTTATTTCGAGATTGATTATTGCGTTCGATTGTTACTATTTAACTGGTTAGCTACACGTTGTACAGTCGGTAAAAGTAGTGATTAAAAATTAAAACTTTTTAAATACCGCAAACATGACTTTAACGTAAACAATGTATCGGTTTTTGTACACTTACCTTAATTACGAACTACTATGAAAATCCATTGTATACATTTGCAATAATATAAGTTTCCGCTCCGTTGACGTCCGTAATTATCTTGTATGAAGCCAAATAACAAAACGGTTGTTCTATCTACATCGTTTGGTTTAAAAACCCGTGTTAAGTTACGATTCAGGATATAGAAATTAATGTTTATTTCAATGGACGAAGTAACAAAGGACTACATTACAAATACTAACATCACTGTCGATAATTTTGACTTCAACGCCATCTATAATTCAATTCTTACAACTGTATCTACTACCAACGATAGTGATTGGCCCAGAAACTAAAATATAGGTTCACACCTTTGACTAAACTACTCACAATTGTTGTGTGAATATTGATTGTCGATTCTTTCGTAGTAAAAAGACGAAGAACGATTGTTGGTGTTTGAGCGTAGGATACTGCGGCGCATTTATGGAGCTCTGTTTGTAAATAATCAATGGCGAACCCCATACAATCACGAACTTTACAAAATCTTTAATGAGCCAAATGTCAAGGCCATAAAAATTGGTCGGCTACGCTGGGCAGGACATGTAGCGAGGATGAGTGACTGCAGAGTGCCTAAGCGCCTATTAGAGAGTCAACCATAGGGACGTAGATCACGCGGGAGACCGAAACTAAGATGGCAAGAAGATGTCGAACGAGACCTTAAAAATGTCGGCATTAAGGGCTGGAAACAAAAAGCCGAAAATAGACCGATATGGAGGAATTTACTGGACCAGACCCAGGCCCACCCTCGGCTGTAGTGCCTCTGATGATGATGAATTGTTTCGTAGTCAATTGTTTAGTTGCATAACAAAAAATTGAGAAGTGTGCTCACCTCCATCTCCTCCTCCTCTAAGTTGGAGTCGAGACTAAACAGTGCTATAGTTTAGTGATGTGACGCGCTGTAATCATCCTTTCCTGTAATATGAACTAGTTCTTTTGCCTATATAAAGACAGTACATCCAACTGTCAATAAAATTACCTTTGTTAACGGCTTGTTCGAAAGGGTGTTAGTGTCTCGTTTATTAATGTAAAAAATTGAAACACTTGTGTAATGGAGCGTACATAAAAGGCCTTTATACTGCGATGTTTATATTTCAAACATAATTGTTCGGAATTTTCATTTGATGTTGTTCACATAACCGTTTACTGTGACATCTATTATTTTTGCAATTGACAACAATGACTTATGCTAAGGGTCAGTTCTTGCTACCTTGTTGCATGTTAATCAGTCTCTTATAATTCAACGAAAAAAACAGCGGCAGTGGAACATTCTGTAACGAATTGTTACTCTAACAGCAATTATTGAGTACACATTTTACTCCGGACGTAATAGTAATAAATGTCAATTATTATTTAACTAACAATCGAATAGCCTCTCGATTACTGTGAAAATCGATATCAACTGATTCGATTCCATCAATCGGTACGGGTTCGAATGGCGTGACCAATGTCACATATTGTACCACTTAGTAACCATTGTATCAATCATTTTAATTATAACACTAGGTGTTGCCCCCGATGTCGTCCGAAGGAATAAAAAACTGAGTAACTATGTATGTACTTCGACTGAATTCGTTATTATTCCTGACTGTATTCTATCTAATTTTGAAATAACATCAAGATACATACATCTAAATCAACGCAACTATATATTAATGAGTTTTATATTTTTATTGTCACAAATTAATCTAAACTGATATTATAATGCGAAAATATTTGTATTATTGTAATTTTGTATGTATCGTAATAACTCAAAAACTACTGGGCCGATTTTTAAAATTCTTTCACCGTTAGAAAGGTAATTTATCTGTGAGTAACATAGGCTTTTTTATTATTCTTTCTCTTTTTTTTTTAGTTTATCATTATGACGTCACATGGAATCTCCCTAAATATTAGACAGCATGTAATCGTTAATTTAAAACATTAATTTAAGAACAGCAATAAAGGATTATTTTTTTATTTATATAATATAGGCTGTATTTTTTTATTTGACGCGGGCAAAGTCGGGAGCAATAATTAGTATCCTATAAATTTGTTTTCTTCAAATCAAACACGCATAAGTTTTATGTTTATAAATTTCTAATAAGAATCAAAATAAAAACTAACATAAGACTATGGACAAAAATGTCACATCACTAGAGCCATTTTTATATCGGCCCTCTGAGGGGCGCTGATAAATATTTATGAAGTAGGTAGCTACATTACTTTTCATGCCTAATGATTTCTAATTCAATTACTTTTGACTCCCCCGTCGCCATCGTGCATGACTGTTTGATTGTACAAACTTTTTTTTCATTTAAAAGAAATAGAGTAAAAATAAAAACACGTTTTTATTCTATGACCACAATAAATACGCAAGATACGATTATTCTCCCAAGCTTAATCTATACTATTATAATAAAGCGTAAACACACACTTCTTTGTTGCCTAAGATGTCAGCAATTACAGCATTTTTTGAATAATTATTTATTTAATAAAAAATCTTACACTAACGTCACGATTTAGGCTATACATTTTTACGCCATTAAACTTAGGGTATAAATATTTTGGATAAAAACCTTAATATGGGACCATAAGTTGCTGTCAACATCAAGAAAACAAGATTGCCAAAGTTTGTCATGTCATGTCATTTTGACATTTGCTATTGATAATTTGACAAATGTAAACAATAAAATAAAATTTTCATAATTTCATGCGGATGAAGCCGCACGGGAACAGCTAGTCACTGATATACAAAGACATAAAAAAGTTATTTTTTAAATACTAGTTAATTATTCTTAGGGGTAAATTTTTTTAAACACCCTAATCGATACCTATAATTTCCTAATTTAGATTGAATCTTACTCGTATCATACTAATAATATAAATGCGAATGTTTAGATGAATGGATGTTTGTTAGAGTTTGTAGCCTAAACTGCTAAGCGGATCTCGATGAAATTTGGCATAGATGTAGAGAATAGCCTGGAAGAACACATAGGCTATTCACTTTTTTTTAATTCCACTTGGAACGAGTCGCCTGTGAAAGCTAGTTTATAGTATTATAAAGAGGAAAGAATTGTATTTTTGGATTTTAGTATGTATTCGATTTACGTAAAAAGTACTGGGCCGATTTTAAAAATTCTATAATCTTTAGGAAGGTAGTTTATCAATAAATTTAATTTCACACAGACGGAGTCGCGAGCAACAGCTATTGAACTATTTTTAAACATCCCGAATCATTTGATGCAGTGTAAATCTTCTCTGTTTGTATAAAGCCAAGGGTTCCGCCTCCCTTATCCGTCGGAACATCCCCGAGGGGGCAGTTATCAAATTTGCCCTTTTCACTTCATTACACGCCCTCCCGTACGTAAGCAGCTCGCAAGCTGTTTTGCGGTTTATGGTCTTTTAATAAAGAGTATATCAGAAGTTTGTAAATCATAGATTAGCCAAAATGTTTTTAGAGATTACGACTTTTTAAACATAGAGGTTAGAATTAAACACCGTTTTAAAACAGTTTAGAATACAAGATTTCTCTTTTGTAAGGTAAAATTGGATAAAAACCGATGATTCTTTGTGTAACAACAACAGAATAAATGCTCTACTTCGTTTGCATTATGCTTATAATTATATTAGTTGTGATATCGTCGAAATAACCCTCAAAAAAACCAAACTTCTAAGCACTAACAACACAAAATAAGAGCATGAATCATAAAAGATATAACCACTGCGGTTTCCATTGCGTTAATAACTGATGTTTAACGCGCAGTGCTGCCAACTGCAAACACGAAAACAGCGGCATATTGGCAACCATGTAAAGATAACTGTTACATAACCTCTACAAATGTTTGTCAATTTTACACAAGCATTTTGGGAGCGTTATTACCGCAGACATATGAGTTGTTTAAAACATTTTTAGTATAATAGCTTCGGTAATCGTAATAATTGATTTCTTAAAAAGCCGTTTAGTGTAGGTTTCTCACAGAAAAATACTTGAATGCTCAATAAACGAATAGTAAAACATTGTTATCCTTTTTAAGGAAGAAATACTAAGCAATTTTAAACCTAAAACTTCAGTAAACTACACTTAATTTCGTCAACAATACCATATATTAATTAATTAAATAATGACTATAGTATAGTAGCACTCACCCGAACTTGGCCGGTCGCTGTAACGCGTGCAGTACACCCAAGCCGGCCACACCATTGGCCCGTTCTCGCCGGTCGTCGTGCCTACAACGTAGACATCCGTAATTGACCTTGATTACATTATATTAGTATTAAATGTAACTACAGATATAAAGGGCCTTGTTAATATAAGAAAAACTGTAAAAAAGGACATCTTTAAGTCATATTTAAGACGTATTAGAGCGCACGCACACCTTCGACAAAACAATCGCAACAATTCTGCGATTGTCCATTGTGTTGTATTCAACTGTTTAGTTGCGCAATTAAAATCAAGTAGTATGCGGACCTTTATATAAGCTCATAGAAATCCAAGCAAGACTAAACAGTTGTGTGATAGTTTAGTTACAGGTGTGCGGACACTTTTATAACCTTTTGCACTTCTGCTATTTTGGTTGTTATTTGCATAAGTGTTATTTTTGTAGAACCAATTAGTATTTGAAACTAAAAATCATCTAACTGAATAGTTTTACTAACAAATTATATGAGGACGATATAATTTCGAGGTATTGTTATTTAAATGTTGCCTAAATCTACTTACTTGTGGTACTACTCTGATTGCTTGAACCATCGTCGCTCTTCGATAGATCAATTGCCCCTTTGTCAGTCGGTTTAACCTCGGGCACTCTAGTCTCAAGTACGTCCGGTTTGGAAGGCAATAAAGCCTCCTTCACAGGTACTTTAGCCTCAAATGACCTAGATTTTAAAGACTTTCTTTTAGTCAAAGGATCTGTTATTCGTCTTCCGAAATCAGCCTTCAAAATATTGTCTATACTAAATTTTAAACAATTCTGATTAATAAAATCCCTTCCAGATTCATTATCTGGTGATTTCGGTGTAATATAATTAACACGTCTATTCTCATCGCTTCTATGACGCGTTTCGATTGTTTGGTTTTTCATTCTCAGACCGAAATTTAAACCGTAATGCTGTGAGTTAAGGTTTAAATTGTTCTGTGGTAGCGGCATTCTATTTGGTATCACCCCTGATTTTAAATCCATTTGGTTTAGTGGATTTTGAAATAGTAAAGGCTGGTTTAGGAACATAAGAGGGTTTGGGGTGATCGGACTCGGTCGGAGGAGTAAAGGTTGGTTTACATTAAGGTTTTGACTAAGTTGTGAGATCGCGTTTAAATGTGTCTGTATGTGCTTGAACGAGGATAGTCCGTGAGAGGTGTCTGGACTGCTTTTCTCGTTGTCATGGTAACTGGAAACTGGTGCCTCGTTACCAACAGATAAGACAGTGTCATCACTACAACAAGAATTCTCATCGTCCACACTTATTTCAGCGCCATATTCAATACCGTTATCATCATCTTCAAGCCTAGGACTGACGCTTTCTGACGTTCTAGAATTTTGACTATCATCGAAATTTGGCGTGTTTTGTAAAAGTTTGTCCGTTGAGAAGACGTTCTCCGGACTATTTGTGTCTCGTTCTTTCTTTAAAACGTTGTGTATGGAGAAAGAGGATGTATGTATTGTTCTATCTTCGGATTTATCCTCGTTGTATTCGGGACTGATTGTATCCCTAGTGTTTGTTGGCGAATATGGCTCGTGTTCTTCATCGCTGTGATCCTGAATCTTTATCCTGGTGTCCTGTAGGTGTACAGTTGTCGACACCGCCGCCATATTGGATTAGGAGTACTACGCCATCTGTTAAGAAAATAAAAAAACGTTAATTACTAAAAACTCAATATTATAAATGCAATAGTTAAGATGGATGGATGGTTTTTAAGAGTTTGTAGCCTAAAGGGCTAAACGGATCTCATCGAAGTGAAATTTGGCATAGACGTAGAGGATACTCTGAAAGAACACATAGGCTTTGTTTCACTTGGCTCTTTTGTTTTTTTTTTTAATTCCACGCAGACGGAGTCGTGTAGCAATATAATCTTCAATACAGAGGATAGAATTATGAACATATTACAATATACTGATCCTTACATAAATGCCAAGGCGGAGATCATTTGTGAAAATCAAAAAAGGTGTGAACGCCCTGACATTTCGTCTAAAGGTTACACACTACATTGACAGTCGACATCTGACACCTTATAGTCTTCCTTATCGTCATGCAGTTGTTATAACATATGCAAAATAACTCAACGAAAGTTCATTTCAATAATCTTACTAATATTATTAATGCGAAAGTTCAGATGGATGTTTGTTAGAATTTATAGACTAAAGGGTTGAACGGATCTCGATGAAATTTGGCATAGATGTAGAGGATAGTCCGGAAGAACACATAGGGTACTCACTTCTGTTTTTTTTAATGTCACTCGGACAGTCTCGGGCGAAAGCTAGTGCAATATAACCCAACGTAGGTCCATTTTAATAATGTGTTAACTATACAATATGATAAAATTGGAGTGTCCGTTTTGTTTGTCCATTTTTGGGTGATATCTATAAGTCTGGGTTGTATTTGACGGCTTTTTAATTGGAAAAAGAACTGATGTTTGTTAAGCTAACCCCAAAACTGAATTATAAAACTCTATATAAGGTTGTTAGTGTTTATCAGCTTAGGGTATATTAGGATTAAATTAATACTGGATTGATAAATACTAATGTAATTGTAGGTGTCCATTATCAAAGTACTTGTTTAAATTCATATCGGCATCTCTTTCACTCTTTTTGATAAAACAAAGACAACGCTAACACAACGACTGTGGTACACAAAGTGCTTCATAGTTCAAAATTACTTAATGCCCTTAATTGGAAGTCATCAGTTTTAAGGTTGGTATCCATAATACATAAGGTAGGCTTTAAGTAGAATATTGATATGCAAATATAAGGGCTTATCCGCATTAAGTCGCATAAAACACAGCCAGCCAATAATTATAACAAGTTAACCGCTCGGAGGATACTGCGGTTGCGGTCACCGGGGAGACCAAACTGGTTGCAAGATATGATCGACAGGTTACTCTACGTGTAAATTTATTTGAGGGTTATCTTGAATATTCGTGAGAAGGTTTTCGTAACGACATTGATGAAATTTGTATGGCCAGATGTAGAAGAAATCTTATTAACACCATCAATTGATAATTTGAGAGTAGATATTTTGAATTAAAATAAACCACTTCAAAAATGTTTGTAAATGACAATAATATTCGTTATGTCACGTGCTTGTCGCGTATTTATTCCTATGCGTTTTAATATATTTTAATGGTTCTACTACCGATATCACTAATTGAAGTTTACTTTGTCTAGGGTGCTTGTCAGTAGTAATTTGACAGTTAACCAAATATTACTATCTTATTAATTGGAGACTTTGTATATTAATATGATTAAAATAAAAAAAAAACATCACATAGTAGAGTTGAAAGGATATATAATTTAATTAAAGACGAAAAATGTACCGAGTCAGTAACCAATAGGATAAATTTAAACAAATATTGAAGTAGAGCATACTGGACAGCGATGGGAAGGCAGACCACACACGTAGCGGCGCGCGCGCAGCCGAACCAGACATTTCGTTTAATCTGCCCACCGCGTCACAACTCTCACATATCACAAGCAATTATCAACCTTACCACTTGAACATAAAGTCCAAGTTTATTACGCACTTAACTTTGTCCGGTTTAAGAATTTAACCAAGTTATACGAGCATTGGAATATCGCGATTAGGACTCTATTGCGAATGTAATAAGATTTATACCGGAAGTCAAAGTTCTTGTAGGTGGTTGTGTAAAGTGTAGCGAAATTGAATTGTTTTATTTTAGTATCACGATTTTGCAATTTCCCGAGGTGTTAGTGGTTTGTTATTTATATACTCTATATATGATACTAAAAGTATCATTACTCTGATAAATTAATGACATTTATTTATTTAATTCATCATCATGTTTCTCCTTATCCTACTCCCGAAGAGGCGCAACAGGTTTTTGTCCTAAACATAACTATCATACGTCATCTCAGTCACTCCCTAATTGATCATGTCACCTTTCACGCAATCCATCCATCTCTTTCTCGATGCATTTATTCAATTTTTTATTTATATTTCTTTAATTACTTATTTTTACATATAATATAGTTTACATGATTATTTTTATATTTAAAAAAAACATGGTATATAAAAAATAGAACAACACCGGCTGCGGAATCCGATGACAAGCAACCAGTGGTCAGGGCTGCAGAGACAGGAATCTCCTCACTATACGTGCGGTTTCTAAAATAACCGCCTTTTGTATCAGGCCCTTAATCCAACTGTCTAACGAGAGCTTCTTGAGATGTTGTTCGAAGGTCTTCGCTATTAGCCCGTGTACCGAAACTAATTTTAATTTTATTATTATAGTTAATTAATTCTTGTATATAATGTCGCGTAATTTTATTATTGACATCCAAAAAGCATTACTGTAGGTTTTTATTGCCGTATCACTCATAGACAAATATATTATCTATGATTTTTACAAATCCTATTGTTGCCAATTTCTTATGTGTTTCTGAGTAATGAAATTATTTTTTCTACGCATTAGGCTTTCACATGTCTATTTAGATATAATATCGAATTATTGCTTGAAATATTGTCTAAAAGATACGTACATATGATTTTTTTTTTCAATTTTAATGGCTTATATCTTTCGCCAGCAACACGTAAGAACAAGATACATTAATATAAAATTGAAAACAACATTGTATCATTTAAATTCAATTGATTCTTTTGACTATACAATAAATGGACTAGGCAAAGTCGCTGTAGTCATACTAATATTATAAATGCGAAAGTTTAAATGAATGTTTGTTAGAGTTTGTAGCCTAAATGTCTCAACGGATTTCAATGAAATTTGGTGTAGATATAGAAAATAGTCTGGAAGAACACATTGGCTACTTACTATTGTTTATTTTAATTCCACGCGGACAAAATCGCGGGCGAAAGTTAGTACTAAATAAATTCTAACACTTTTCGGGTATTTCAACATACACATGGCTGAGGACCCTATAGAGAGAAATCTTAGTACGAGAGATGTTTAGAAAGAGAGGATGAGAGACTCAGTAACGAGAAAACATGCATAGTAAGAGATAAGGGAAGGGGTATAAAACAATTTGCAATTACACATTTTCTTTTTATGTCGACCCAGTAAATTATAATCTCTTTATGAAGGCATATTGAATAAAACGAGAACACAAATCAACAAGTTTAGATTTTATTGTTTTTTTATGACAGAAGGAAAGCGCGTTGGACAGATCCTGTCTCTTTAAAGTCAAAGTACTTAACACCCGACGTCTACAGTTACAACGTAAAATTTTAATAGAAACAGTGTTAACGTTGTTAAAATATCACGTTTTTGTGCAAATAACGCCTAGGAATTTTCCCGCCATCAAGATGGCGCGAAAACTCTGACATTTCGAAGTGACAGTTGTAATATTTTTTATCTGTTAACGACGATAATTGGACGTGTAAACGCGGTCAAAGAACATAAAATCGTTCATATACGGTGTATTCTTCTATGAATTGATTGCAAGGGGACTCAAAAAGGCTGTTCATGAAAGTATGCGAGCAAATTTAAATTAATTAACTTTACGAATAGCATTACACGTTGTACAAAATTCCTGACAGCAGCAAAACAGAACTACCAATAAGCTTTACGACGAAATGGGCCGACTCACAATACCAATGATTAAATTATTGCAAATAAAAAAACGTTATTACTACATAATACTACAAACTCTAACAAACATCCATCAATCTAAACGCAATAATATTAGTATGATAAATACCTAATCCGAGGCACGAAAGTTATGCGAAAAAAACTGAAATACGTCCTTAATATTGTCATTTACAATTTGAATCGATATTAACAACTTGTATAAAATAATCTATCTATAATACATCTACGAGAGTTGTTTTATCTGTGCTAATATCATTACTGTATTTATCTAGCTTTCGCCCTCGCTTGGAATTAAAAAATACAAAAGTATAGCCTATGTGTTCTTCCAGACTATCCTCTACATCTATGCCAAATTTCATCAAAATCCGTTCAGCCGTTTAGGCCACAAACTCTAACAAACATCCATTCATCTAAACTTTTGCATTTGTTTCGCACCTTTCGGATAAGAAAATAATTATCAAAATCAGTCCGATAGCGGCGGAGTTTTGCCGTAACACACACAAAAAAAAATAATAATAAAAACAGACGACTTGAGTACCTTTGGGAAGTCAATCAAAAAGTAAGGAGGATAGTAAGTTTCTTTACAGATGTCAAATATTCAAGAGTACAAATATATCATATTATTACAAACTTTTATGCCTAATAAATAGTGGACTCACGCTTTTTTAATTTGAGATATCTTGTAACAGTATTTTCTGCAAAAAAAGACGTATAGCCACATCAACAATATTTTAAAAAAAGAACGTTCAAGATCCACGATAGATTATAAAACCATTTTTTTTAATTTAAAAAAAACTGGCCAGTTTTACGCTTTAATGAATTTTGAACTGAACGTTCCATCAGTTTGCCAAGGTTCCAGCAATTTATTTCATTAGGATTAAAGAGTCTAGGTTATAAATAATTTACTAAAAAACGGTTTGTCTTCATTACATGCACATTTTAAGTAGATTTCTCGCGTAATGGAGCCTATGTTGTAGCGCGTTTCACCTGGTTGAAAACGATTATAAGAATAAATCACTGCACAATGTAATTGAGTTTACTCAAGTAATGGAG